CTCTAAACTTATATATTCTACATTAATATGAAACATGCAATAATGTGTTGGGGGGAAAAACTTATGCTGTAATTGTATAGTGCAGTACAGTTGACAATAACAGGACATAATTCATAGTAGGTTCTGCAAAGTTACTGTATGTGGACAATAACTCTGCTCATGTAATATCTGAAGAAACTCACAATAGTAACTTAGTAACATCCAAATAACCTTGGATAAATTGTGCTTTGTCGTGGGCTGAGAGAAATAAAAAAGCATTGTTGCTATTTCTTCACATTTTTAGTCACATTCAAACATGTTGTTTAGTTAAAGCTGGGATACCTAACATTTCAACCACAAGAAATCACTAAACATTAAACGCTAAAATCAATCTTCACTCTTCCCTAGTTCTCACATGCATGAATCTTTGGCCTCAGTCACAGCTTTAGATCAGCTTTTTCAGACTGAAAAGTGAAAAACAGAGGACCACCCTCAGTCAAAAAGTGACTCGAGGGGGTCTTTCTTGCAAATATGCAAAAGGATAACTTACTTTCTGATAAGATGAAGAAAGCATCTTGTGGTCTGATTTGTCCCTTTGAACATTTTACTTTTACAAGACCCTTTCTGTTGAGACAAACAAAATGTGTAGCAGTACTTTCTGGACAAACTGCACCATGTTCATTACCGCACCAGATAAATGTGCGGTAATGAATAGGCCGCACTTGAATAAAAGCCATAACTGTAAGAGCTAATGGCACAAGATGATCAGACACGTACAAATGTTAGAACTGGTCCTGACACAGAGTTTTGATGTTCATAAATGTTGACTGTTCATAAACTCTGCTCTGACAATAGCCCTAAGCACATAAAAACACATTCTGTGTAAAGATTGTATTTCCAAACACTTCCTCATGTCTCTCTCTGCTGTTCACATAAACACATCCAAAAAGCAGGATTGTGTATTCTGTCATCAGCTCTGGAGATCAACAGTTGATAGAGTTGTGTTTTAATCCCTATAACAACTATAGCATGTGTGTATGAATATTGTATACATATATATGGCTATGTCTGTATGTATGTGTGTGGGCGGGTATGTCCAACCGTATAAAGTGAATATAGGTATAGGGGGTGGGAGCCTATAAGCTTGACTTCTTCCCACTCCTTTTTGAGCTTTAACAGAAGTGAAAATAAATTGTAATTGCTGTTAAATCTTTTAATTGATTCCTGTTTATAAGCTTGAAATAAAATACAATCAATCAATCCCTTCCTGCACCCCAGCCCTGATATAATATAAATACATTAATTTACTGCTACCCTACAGTAGCTATATTCAAGTCCAGGCTGAAAACAGCTCTTTTCAGGCGTGTCTACGACTGATCATCAGTTTATTATTTACGTATACATATTTATATTTATTTATTTTTTAACTGTGTTTTTACACTGACCTGAAAAACATATTAGAATTTAAGGAGTTCACCTCAAAGCTCAAGCTGGGGCTTAAAAAACACAAACATGCACCCATTTCTAAACCTGTAAACAATAGTATTTTGTGTGTGTGTGTGTGTGTGTGTGTGTGTGTGTGTGTGTGTGTGTGTGTGTGTGTGTGTGTGTGTGTGTGTGTGTGTGTGTGTAGGTGTGTGTGTGTGTATGTGTGTGTGTGCGTGTGTGTGTGTGTGTGTGTGTGTGTGTGAGAGTATTCTCGATTGTGAATGTATTGTCCGTATGGCTGTTATTGGTGGGGGGAATGTCTTAATAGATCACTGTTGTAAATATGTGTTTTAGGGCTAGGCCTATTTTATTCCTTCTGTATAATGTTTTGCACTTTACTAAATAAATACATTTAAATGAGTTGCTAATGTGAGCCACTTGGGTTGCATTCTGTATGAACTGTGCTGTATAAATAAAAGTTGATTGATTGATTCCCCACATCGCGATAGGCATACTTCTAAGAACTTGAAAGAATTAATGGCTTATGGTCCAGCAAGTGCTCTATTATTGAAGAAATAAAGTTAGGTACCTCAGCTTTAAGATCAGGGTTGATAATAAGGTTTGAGACGGGACACAACACAAATACATTAGTCCCGAAGCTGAACATCGTATCATGTCTTATGCGGTACTCTTTGATCATGACAGGTCTAATTGGAAGTTATGGATTACAACTAAAACTATCTGAAATGTATAGTTCAAAGAGATTCAACCAAAAATACATACTGGTACTTAGTCACCCATGAAATAGCAAGTATGAAGTGTTTTCATTAGAAATATAAACACCATGCTGTCTCCTTGATAACTCATTTGTCCATCCTGACTTACAATCTATTTCTGAAACCGAGGCATACAAGGGAATTAAAACTCAAATGTTTCAAAGAGACAACATTTCCTATGGACCTGAGATTGTAGCTGGATATCAGCTTTGAGTTCTTTCCCATGAGCTGGTATAATCTTATCAGGGGCAAAAGCGCCAGGCTGAAACAGCTCAACTAATGGGCGTGATAATAAATCTGGAACTTATGACAGCCTAAAGCATTGTTAAGCACAGCGGCATATTATTTAAGGCCTGCTTTAGCAGGCACTTCAGAAAATCAGTCTTTGCACCACGCATACAGATTTGGCATTACAAGATAACAACAGCAGTGTAAGGAAGTATTGGCCTCTAAAAAAACGATTTCATGTGCAGATAGAACAAAGACAAGGATTTTGTAAAAAAAACTTCAAGGTGTGAAAACAATGATGAATGATGTTCTCAGGAGTTCTTTGTTTTGTCAATTTTTCATTGTAACCCATAGAAACATACATATTACAACGATACAATCAAATAATGAAATTCAAATATTTTTATTGAGCATATTAAAAATGACTTTTTAAAGTTAAAGGTATATAGGGTTTCCCCAAATTTCAGGAAAGAACCGCCCTCTCCACTTTTTGAATATAATATCAATATTAAAACAGTCTTGACGATCCACCCGGAAGTTGAAAATCCTCTTACACATCTTTAAAGATAGAAAAATAAAAAATATATAAGAAAAATGTCTATTTCAAGGCCATAGTTTGTATGAGTCAGCCCAGAATTATTATCATTGTCACTCAGGCTGATGATGTCGCTTCAATCTGGAACCACATTCCTCAAGCCTCTCGTCTGTATGCCTCAGTATTCTTAAAAATATCAGCCTATCTCTGCAATTCAAAGAAGTCCTTAAATAAGTTGTTTACTGACAGATTACTTATTTAACAACTAATTTTTTGAAATATTTTCCTGTCCAGTTTCAGAGCCCACCACGTCACTCAGGCCTCTCTTAAGGTAACAAAAGATGCAGGATCATGGGACATTTGACAAATATGTCTTTCCAGCTGCAGAGGTTTGTGTGTCTTGCAGCTTGCCTGGGAACGCCTTAGGATTCCCCCAGATGGATGAGCTTGGGGGCCGTGCATGGATCACAGTAAGGGGACATATTTCCTTGGAACTTTTATTACTGTTGCTGTAATCTTCCTCAGCACGCATAAGCACATATAACCATGGATAATGTTTCAAAGAATAGTTCTAACTTTGTAGCATGGAAATGGATTATATACATTTGTTTCATGAAAAAGGACATTAATAAATAAACAACTGCCTGGAAGGTGAATAAGAGATCATATTCCGTAGAAGGAGGGGCGACAGTAGCTCAGTTGGTAGAGCATTGGCCTTTAGGCCTGAAGGTCGTGGGTTCAATTCCCACCTCTACACCTTCTCCACCGACTCCCACTGATGACTGCTGTCGTTGTGTCCTTGGGCAAGACACTTAACCCCACTTTGCCCAAAGCCCCAACTGAAAGATCAAGGCTATGCTCACACTCAGAGAGCAGCCGTCCTCCTGTGGACTCACCACCTGCAGAGGATCAGTGAGGGGCTGGTGCTATGAGACTTGGGTGGCATTTCTGACTGCCACCCCCCTGACCCAGAAATGGATTAAAGGGTAGAAAATGGATGGATGGATGGATTCCGTAGAAGGGACAAAAACATGCACTTGATCATTTGATACACAAACTGAACCTGGAAATATTGACTATTCAGAATGATAATAAGCGTTAATAGGACATTTCTGATTTGCTCAGTTGCCAAATGAAATTAGTTACAAACAACTTGAAGCTTAAGCTTTATCTTATCAGATCAATACAACATCAACGTCATGAGATGATTTATATGTGGGGGGCTATAGTAACTTAAGATGCAAATGGACCCCTGGAAGGGTTTCCTCAAGCAAAAATACATTAACTGCAAGAATAAGGTCAATTAATAATTACGCAACAACATAAAGGACTGTGACACGCTTTACAGAGAAACAATCACCACAAACTGGAATTCAAAACAATAACCCTGCAGCATGTACACAATATAACCACGTTACAAACAATGCAGTTTGGCTGATGGCAAACCCTTTCTTCGAAAAAAAAAACAAAAAATGTGATTTGTGTGATTTAGAGAGTGATCGCTTTTATACACCTTCTCAAACACCTTCACAAATACGGTGAACGTAAAAAATCCTTACATTTACAAATGTATCAGACCAGAAGCAAAACTTCTGAGTCATTATAGCTTACATTTAATGATATGATTTCTTTAAAAGTACAATTAACACAAAATCATGTCCACGTTTGCAATTAACATATAATTAAATGCAAATGTAGGCATAATTTTAAGCTTAATTTGTGGGATTTTGAGAAAATTAACGAGAATGAATCAGTGTTGTCAATTAGCCTAAATCTCTCGCTGGTATTCTAAATGACTGGGGACAGGGAAAATTTGCAGAGCAGAGACGATCTGGGGGTGGTCTCTTCGGGAGTCTTTAAAAGAGGGTCCTCTGTTGTTGTGCGTAGACTGAGCGGACTCTCCTGTGCGTCACTGATGGACGCGTTTGTGCTAAGTGGTTTATGCCATGATAGACAGTTCTCTCATTGTTTATTAGTTTGGAATAAATACTTTGGAACACAGAGTCACAGCCTCTGTGAGCGCAGCGCAATTACGCACGCTTTTGCGCGCCACGATGCTTTGCGCACTGGACATCTTCTTTAATACCTCGGAATCCAACAGCACAGAGGACATGGAAGTCACGGGGAATGCCGGGAATATGAGTGCCAAAAGAAACGACAGTGATCCGTTTGGACGAAATGAAGAGGTGGCCAAGATAGAGATCACAGTTTTAAGCCTCGCTTTCATAGCCGCTGTAGTGGGCAACGTGAGCGTGCTGCTGGCCTTGAGCCGCAGTAGGCGCAAACTGTCCCGTATGCACCTGTTCATGCGCCACCTGAGCCTTGCAGACCTGGTGGTGGCTTTTTTCCAAGTGCTGCCGCAGCTCTGCTGGGAGATCACATTTCGTTTTTATGGACCTGACTTTTTGTGTCGCATTGTGAAGCACCTGCAGGTGATGGGCATGTTCGCAAGCACGTACATGATGGTCATGATGACTGTGGACCGCTACGTTGCCATTTGCCACCCGCTGCAAACGGTCCAGCAGCCCACACAGCGCGCCTATACCATGATTGGAGCCACATGGGCGTGTAGCCTGGTTCTCAGTTCACCGCAGTACTTTATCTTCTCCCTAAGCGAGGTGCGCCCCGGGTCAGCCGTGTACGACTGCTGGGCACACTTCATTGAGCCTTGGGGCGGGCGCGCGTACATTACCTGGATCACAGCAGGCATCTTTGTCGTGCCCGTGTCTGTGCTGCTCTTCTGCTATGGGTTAATTTGTTTTACTATATGGAAAAATCTCAAACTGAAGACCCGTCGAAAAAGTGTTGGAGCCGTGGTAGAAGCTACAAAAACAGGAATCCTGGGAAGGAACTCTGTTAGCAGCGTCAGCACCATCTCTCGTGCCAAATTACGCACAGTCAAGATGACCTTTGTGATTGTGGTCGCCTATGTAGTGTGCTGGGCACCATTCTTCACCGTGCAGATGTGGTCCGTTTGGGACAAGAACTTCTCCTGGGCGGGTTAGTAGCCAGTATATAGTTTCCATGTTAGTCTGAAAGTCTGATCTTTGACTAATAGATCCAGACTTGAAATAACTTGTGTCTTGTCTGTTCCAATTCGATTTGCAAAACTACGTTTTAATTGGATCTGCAACAGGTTGACCAGCAGAGGCTCTGCCTGTCTGGAAAATGTAGTGTGGTTTGATGTTATTTATTTGAACGACACCGTGCATGTGAATATACAGACAGCTCTTGAGCTATAACCTGGTACAATGCATCTTTCCCTTTAAGGTTAATGTTTATTGTACACTGTAGCTGTCATTATAAAATAAAACTAATTAAACTAAAAATAAATGATGAATGGAAACATCAGATGAGCTAAAGACGAATTTCTGTCTTTTTTACCCAGATTTGTTCCATTTTAGCTATTGTATTAGTTAAGGCCTAAAATGTAATTCAAATAATGGGCCTGCTGCTTTCTGCAATGATCTGTCTACAGCATTTGTGTAAAATACCAAACCAGGTGAGCCTTTAGCTCCCTGTAGCTTAAGAACATGAGATTTTTGCTCTATATGTAACTTTATTATGAGATAATTATTAAATTATGTATTTTCTGCTGTGACATCGAGACTATATGTATTCCTGTTTGTTTCCAGACTCAGAAAACACTGCGGTGACATTATCTGCTCTTCTGGCCAGTCTGAACAGCTGCTGTAACCCATGGATCTACATGCTCTTCAGTGGTCACCTCTTGTCAGACTTCGCCAGGAGCCTTCCCTGCTGCGCAAAGATCAGCTCCAAGTTCAGCCACTTAGAGTCCGACAGCAGCATTCGCAGAACCACTCTGTTGTCCCGCCTCCAGACCCCCCGTCTGTCAGAGCCTTTCAAAGACAACGACACCGCTCCTAAACATGTTATTCCTGCTCCGACTACCTCATGAACATCCACTGTGCCTGTTGCACCAAGCTTTAGCACTGAGATATATGTGATTATGTGAACACAAAAGAGAAATCTTCTTTTTACACAAATGAGATGATTTCACTTTAATATAAACTTAAATAATTCAGAAACATCATTCTCTCAATGATGTGGGTCGCGATATTGTTAAAAATAATTGACATGATACATGAAAAAACTGTCCATGTAATGCATTTGTAAATATAATACACTTGGTTTGATCTCAGTCTTGCTGCAAGTAATCCCACACATTTGCAGGAAAGTCTTGGACAGATATCTGCTTACACAAAGGACAGTTTGTATGATGTTCATGTGCTCCATGTAAATAGACAAAAAATGGTCTTATCAACCACATCAGGTACTCTTTAACTTCTTTAACAGTGACATATATAAGCCTTTCTGGACCGTTTGTGCATGTGCTTTGTTTTAATCCCTCTGACATGTTTTAATGTCATTAAAGTAATATTCACTGTTGTAAAGTTACTGTGAATGATATAATACTGTGCCCGTTGTTTCAAATACACAACATTCTGTGCATATACTGTAAATTGTTAAATGTCGTTGTGAAAAAGATAAAATAAAGACAAATTCTTTTCTGTTTTACAGTACGTTGTAATTGTATTTAGAGTAGATGGTATGCACTTTTCATCAAGATAGCACTTATCGGCATACGAGGGCCTTACACACATACAGCAATGAGGTACTGCTAAAAAGTTCACTATAGTCGTGTAATAATGTTTTAAAGTAACATCAACACTATTTTGGGATTACTTTATATGTAATACTATACAAAATATTAACTTTTGGACTTTAAGATTAGGTAAACGGGAAATGGTGCTTATGTGACTCAAAGGACATCATTTACATGATACTGTCACTTCCATTTTGCCTTTTCCACCTGTAGACCACGTAACAGTCTGACCCCAGGCACGGTTTGGTCCTGCTTTCAGATTATAGTTTAATTCTAATGCTTATTTTTACCCTTTACTTTATGCTGTATATTACTACTTCACTTTTGGGCTGGATGTAACTTTTATCTGACTTCTATCTACAGTTCAATTCCATAGTTTAATCTGTTGTTGTCGAATCAACAACTTTGTAAAGTACTCCAAGATGACTGTTGTTGTGAATCTAAGCAGTAGATGTTACTTTGGTTTTCATCACAATAAAATAAAATCATTTAAAAAAGATTGGATTCTTGGGGTCCCAGGTTTTACATTCACCATGGCAACATTTCAAGTCCATATTTCAGATTATAGTACTAAATTATGGACTTGATAGTACATTAAAAACAGATTTGGAAGAGTGTGATTTGTACATAAGACTTCATATTAGTAAACCTAATATTGTACAGAAAAATAATTGCCATAAATGTGAATATGGAAGATGTGTGCAGTGAGTCTGTTTGAGCCAGAAACAGAAACAGAGTAGGAGGTACCTTTGTAAAGAAATAAGTCAGCCGCCATTTGTGCAAGTCCTCACACAATACAAGATTTTTTGTTATTATTTTTTTAACAACTTATTTGCAAATAATGGTGAAAAATATGTTTTGGATCAATAACAAAAGTTCACCTCAATACTTTCTGTAAAACTTCAAAGAGGTTTTCTCACACTGTTGCTGGTATTTTGGCTCATTCCTCCATGTACAGTAGATCTTTTCTAGAGCAGTGATGTGTTTGAGATTTTTCTGGGCAACACAGACTCCAAAAGATTTGCTGTGGGGTTGAGATGTGGAGACTGGCTGGGCCACTCTAAGATCTTGAAAGTCTTCTTTTGACGAAACCACTCCATATTCCAGACATTTATTTTGGGATAGTTGTCATGCTAAAAGGCCCAACCTTATTTATTCTTCAGTGCCCTTGCTGATGGAACTCAAAATCTCACGAAACATGGCCCCATTCATTCTTTCCTTCACATGGATCGATCAAAAGTCCTGGGGCCGTATTCCTAAAGATTCTAAGAGTCCTCTCAGAGAGCTCCTATCTTAACCCTAAAACTCCTAGCTTGGAGTCTTAGCTTAAAAGTTATTCCAGAACACTCTTGGAGAACTCTGAGCAAGGAATGGACGAGAACTTTTATCTTAGTGAGGAGGCGTGGCCGACCCCGTTGCTAGGTATGAGTCATCATTTCAGACGCTGTGATTGGTAGATCCAAAAAGTTAGAAAAAACATATTTTTGATGATAATGGGCAAAATAAGTGCCCTAAAATGGACAAACTTAATCATGGAATCTAATCTTAGGAAGACTGTGTTAATGTAAATAATAGTCAGAAAAGGTACAAGTCAGATATACATGTATCAATGTTAAATTAATACTGTGAATAGTAAGTTAGACTTTTACACCACATCATTAGCGCTCTTGCTCAGCACCAATTTATCACACATATTTAACACACGTAAATATCATGAGCACTTATATAAATAAATATATATATAATTTGAATATTACTCTATATGTAATATACATGATAAAGAACATTATTATTATAAATATTATATGGATAAATGATGATAATGATAACGTTAGGATTAGTAAAGGCTGTGATACTGAAAGACGTATAAGGTTTAAAGGAGGATTTTTTCGAAATTTCAACCAAAAGTCTTGATGATCCACCCGGAAGTAGAACATCCTATGTACCTTTAACATTTTGAGAACTTTCAACAAACAGTTTTGCTGTATTACGAGCAATATTTAGCATTTTTTAAATCAGAATAATCTTTTTTAGCATGTATTAAGGGGGAAAAAAACAAAGATTTGAATGGAAGCTTGACCGCTCTGGGGTTTCTAGTGTTAAACTCTCTTCTTTTTCAAGTGTTTAGCCAAACTAAGTGTGTTATAAGAATGTTTTTTTATTTTTATTTAACCATTATTTAACCAGGAAGTCCCTTGAGATAAAATCTCTTTTACGAGGGAGACCTGGGCAAGAACAAATTGGTAACAAATTACATACATACTCAAGCACAAACAACATTATACACATATATCAAATGGCTTCAAAATATCCAGCTCAAGAGTAACATCTGCACATTTCAGTCAATCTCTAATTTAAATGAGACCAGGGGACAAAGTTCTTTTAACTGTAACAAGTTTTGGATGTTGTTCCAAGCCCATGGTGCCACATAGGAAAATCTGCCCACTTCAGTCTTTATTCTGGGGATGTGAAACAGGAGTCGCTGGGAGGAGCAGGAGTTATACCCACTGTTGGCTGGGGTCAGGAGCCCACACAGGTTTGAGGGCATCTTTCCTATGAGGGCTTTGTAGATGAAGATGAGCCAGTGGCGGTGTCTCCTGAGGCTCAGTGAGGGCCATGAGAGCTGGGAGTACAGCTCACAATGATGGGTCCTGAAGGCAGAGTTGGTAAGGAAACATAGAGCACTGTGACGGTGGAGTGCTGAGGATGCTGCATTCATATAAATAATGTCCCCATAATCCAGAAAAGAGAGGAGGGGGTCTGAACAAGTGTTTTCCTCACCTCAGGCTTCAAACAGCTCTTATGTCTATGATAAAAGCTGAGAAGAGCTTTCAACTTTTTTAACACATGCTCAATGTGAGTGAAAGCAAGTTTATCATCTACCCATATGCCCAAATACTTATAGCAGGTTACCTTTTCAAGAGGCTCTCCCTGAAGTGTTTGGAGTCTGGGTGCATGTGTTTGATTTATGCATGATGTGATAGGGGATGTGAAGCGCTTTGCGTTGCCTTGTGTAGGAAAGGCGCTCTACAAATAAACGTTGATTGATTGATTGATTACAGAATTGGAATGGCCTCTAAAACATACTCAAACATTTTTTTAGTCCCTGTAGGGACAATGGTCCTCTGTGCTTGACCCATTCTGCCACTAGGGCAACCTGAAAAGTGGTCGCCACAAAGTTGTGCATACGAAACCTATCTCAAGATTTTGATGCTCGGCTTGGTCGAGACCATGGTCCATGATATTGGGTGGTGGGGAAAACCGGAGCATCTGGAGGAAACTCACCCAGAGGCTGGGTGCAAACTCCACACAGAACCCACAACTTTCATGAATGCTACCCACTCAACTGCCTGTGTCTATAACAAAGCCAGAAACAAAGTGTGAGTTTACATAAAATCCTAATATTTGTCATAATACTTTGCATGCGGACACATATGGAGTCATAACTGAGGCTGCAGGACTCCACAACCATGCTCTCCCACTTTCCTTCCATTTGACACAAAAACATGATTTCAGAGCGTGACGTATACTGTACTTCATGCTCTGAATAAGGAAGCAGGTGAGCAACCTGCTTTTCACATAAGCAGCATAACAATGCAGTTTACTTCGGTATAATTACAAACATACACTGTTGTGTACAATACTGTCTAAAAGAATGTATTTAATACAACACATAGAGAGGATGTATCAGCTTGGGAAGTGTATTGTTACAGATAGGAAGTGTAAATGAATGTAGCACTAACAGAGAGGCTAATGTCCCAAAAAGACCTTTCATCATTACCGACGCAGGGTGGGTCCCATCCTGTGCAAAATCCTAAAGTGGTCCATATCTTTCACACAGACGACTGTTTCCATGTTTACTTTAAGTCTTAAATGACCCTCATATCCACACAACCGAGGTAGGATTAAACCTGCTCATTGTAATGGGTTTCTTCACAGCACATAGTCTTTATTACTTTGGCTGAGGAGAAACACAAAATAAGAATCTGCAGCATCAAAAGACGTTGATTAAAATAGGACATTCAGGAATACAGATACTGCACAGAGGAAATAGGACTTGAATGTAGTCTTGGTTACATCTTAGAATGAAAATAAATAAAGTTTAACCACATTGTTAGTACAGAACCCCTGAAAGTCACGTAAATGTACAACAAATGTTTCCTCTGTTTATGTACCATGTGTTTGTGCATTCAGGAAGTATTTTCCCATATCTCCCTCAACAGGCTTCAGGGACAAACACACCCCAAGGATGAAGTTAAAGTCGTCTAACATGCACTTGCATACATAAATATAAAACAAAGTCCATGGCAGTGCATTTTCAGGACAATTAATGGTCTTAATAATTTGCTAAGTGGTAATACCAGGTCCCACAGTGGGACGCCTGTGGCTCTCAAGTGCAGACTGCCTGTGCGCATTTAAAAGAATCATGAATCTGTTTGTGGCAGGGCATGCTGTGACTACAATGAATGAATAATGCAATGCAAAGAGTATTTGATTGTTGAAAAAGTCCTATACAAAAAACGAATGCATTATGTCAGTGTACTTTAATAGCCACAACAATCATTTACGATAGTTACTCAGAATGATACCATCATTGACTGATCACCCTCAGCCCCAAATAAAATAAAGTAATTGTGCAGATTTGTGACGTGTACTTGAAAAGATGCTGCAATTACATTGATACATAACACACATATACTTTTCTGCTTCTAGTCATTTGAAACGGTTTGCCTGGACTCTAAGAAGCTCGATCTCATTGTGCGTCAAAACCAGTTCTGATGATGGAGGGATTTTGAAGATTGACAGGCGAGGCAAAAGGGGTTCAGAAGATTGGTCTGTGATTAATCAGAGCAACATTGAAATTGATGAAAGACAAAAGATAGTATATACAGTATATACATTGACTGTCAACATCATTCACACACTTATGGAGGGACAGGATTGTGTTATTACTATAATTATTGTTATCATATTTACACATTTGTGATACTATCCATGCCAAATGTGTCGTTTACATTTTACAGCAATCATTTTACAGCAAAATGATTTTAAATGCAGCAATTCCACAGTGACAAGAGAAGAAAAAGAAGTCACAAAGCAGACAATCACTATCCTGTACTTTTGCAATTTATCCACAGGGGTCATGTTTCTGGGGATAGCAAAAAACACTTTTGAAAACGTAGAATTGAACCACTGATGGATATTTTTGTCCGCTTCATGTTATTATAGATGCACAAATCATTTCAGACAGTGGAAATTATAATGCGATCTGCGTTGAGCTGCATCCTGTGTGGGTGGCTGACATCTATGTCCTCAATCAAGAGAATTCATCATAATGAACTGAGGGCCTATTATTAAGTCATTACATCTCATTTGCACAGTTGCCTCCAAAGTTGTTGAAAACAGCATCCAAGAGACTATGGGCATCCTGCTGAAAAAGACATGAGAGTCACCACGGTCATATTGAATCCATGCATGAAAATACTAATGAAATGTCAAACGGTTTCGTGACAACATTTTAAATGTCCTTCTGGTTGAAAAGTATAACATCACTGCACCCTTGTGGATGAAAACGGTTTTCTCCCTACACTGTGTTGGTGGTCTATAAACAAAATTAAGTAAAAAATAAAGATAATGAATAATAATAAGACTAATAATAATAATAACAATAATAATAATAATAATAAATAACAATAATAATAATAATAATAATAATATAATAATAAATAACAATAAAAATAATAATAAAAACAGTAACAATAATAATGATAATAATAGTAAGACTATTCATAATAATAATAATAGGCCTACACCTGTGCGAATTGAGGAATATGTTGCAATCATCCACTGGGTCACCTTTGGCATTCTGATAAGATACAGTCCTCTACAATGTATCTTGCGTTTGTGAAAAATTATTTACTAAACACACGATGAAAAGCGGAGGAAAGGTCAATGGGGCGGGCCGTGCAGACTTAGCCAATCACGTGCTGAGGCTTGGACTGGTGCCTCAGGTCCACACCAATGGCTGTCAGACTTACTGCAGTATTTTGAGCCGAGTTCTGAAAGGTACAGAGGTTTGAGATGAAGCAGGCTCTTCTTTAGGTAAGGTCCACACTCATGTAACCCATAACTTTATTAATCTTGTTTAGAATGTGTACATTCTTCAATAACATCATATACTGTTCCCGTGACTGGTGGTAGGCATAAACTGAAAATGCAGTACTTTACAGGGATAGGTAAAGTACTGCATTATCTTCAGAACTTGAGTGTGGTGGAAGTCCAAATACTCTGTGTGAAAATGTCTCCATAGCAAAAGTAACACTGTCAGGTTACAATATATACAGTCTATGGTTACAACGTATAGACATCTTACTTTTACAGTAGAAATCGGAAGTTTACATGCCCTGTATGAAGACATGGTACATTTTCTGTCTGAAGTTCAAATTCTGACTTTGTTGATCGTTTACATCATTCATGAGGTAAAACTTATTTTATTGCAGTGTTGAGAAAATACTAATGCAGGCCGAATGAGGCTTCATAAGCAATTTCAGGGTGTTCGTCTGATGTATGTGTCAAGGCTTCAGAAACTGTGCCACTTTGCTCCACCTTGTGGTCAAAAAAACTAAAGCATCTAGAGCAATGTTTTCCAGGAACCTGTTTTATTTGTTTATTTGGTTGGGACATTACATGTTAATTAACACATTACTCCGGATTGTAGCCATGGGCTAATTTACATCTGTTGTCCCACATTCGCACTCACAAACACACACCCTGAACTATTGAACATGTTTTTAGTGGTAGGGTGAACCGGAGTACCTGGAGGAAACCTACGCAGAACATGCAAACGCCACTCTGAAATTCAAACTCAAAACCTTCTTTCTGAGAAGCAAGAGTGCTATCAGCCACCATGCCACCCCAATTATTGAGGATAAACTTGCATAAAGATGAATGATTATACACAATAAACCCTTTATATCCCAGTAACATTGCCAAGACAGCATATTGGAGTCTGGTTTTGCTTTGTAACGGTGTATTATTTAGTGCCGTCCTAAATATCAGGTTTTTAACACATTAACGCAACTCAATATTAACACTAGGAATGCACTGATACCGCTTTTTACAAGTACAACATTTTGTTATCCCTGGGAATGTTAAAAAGCCTCTAAATGGAAAGTTTAGTTCTAAAAAGTTGCCAGATAAGTCGACTAAAAAGATCAGTTATCTGTGTAGCACGTCCACTTTCACTTTGAAATACCACCTGATGCCAAACACACTGATGCGAACTGTCCTCTTCCGTCGCGTTCTTCTCAAGACATATGAATAGCGCAACTAAGAACAAACTGTTGGCACTTTGCTACTTTATTTTGTATCTCCCATAGCCCTTTCTAAGGGATCAAAACAGTGACTTTTTGGTTACCAATTATACATGTTAAATATCTGTTTATTGACAGCATTGAATTGTATGACATTTTCAAGTGTGAGTGTGAACTATAACACTACACGTTTTCAATAAAAAAAATAAAACAATTGCACCGTAAGAGATTCAGTGTGCAATTGAATACGCCGCCATCTTGGATCAGTGGGTCTTGGCCTGAACATGTACTGGCTTCAGCAGGGGACATGTCTGATACTGCATCCAAAGAACACCACACCTACTGTGGGGCTGTTTTTCTAGATTTTGAGTGAAGACCTCCTTCCATCAGCAAGGACATTGAAGATGAAGCGTGGTCTTTCAGCACGACAATTTTCCCAAACACATGTCCAGTAAATGGGAGCAGCGGCTTCGTAAGAAGCATTTCAAGGTCCTGGATTGGCCTCGCCATTCTCCAGATCTCAACCCCATAGAAAATCTTTCAAGGGGGTTGAAACTGTGTGTTTCCTAGCGACAGCCCAAACACCTCAGAGGAGATCTGCTCTAGAAGAGATCTGCTTGGAGGAATGGGCCAAAATACCAAAATAACAGTGTGTGAAGACTTACAGAAAAGGTTTGTCCTCTGTCAATGCCAACAAAGGGAACTTACTTACTTACTTTATTGATACTTACTTGCTATATAATGCAAAAGTAATACGAAACAAGAAAACAAAAAAGAGTGAAGACACAAGGATTTTTCAGGAAGACTTTTTCAGATTTTAGCTGCATACATAAATGCTGAAATCCGAGTTTCTTTATACGACACCAACATTTCAGGGATGTACTTTGGTACGAGTAAAGGAGATTTTTGAATATAAGCAGGGCTGCTTTAGAGCTTATTCTCTGAGCAATAGGAAGCCAGCGCAGAGACCAATAATCATACTTCTTAGTTCTAGTCACATTGTTCCAGAATGACACGTTTCTCCACAGTTGCAGACAAACACTATGGCGTTCTTCACGACTCCTCTTCTCTCTGTGGCTCCAACTCGGGCTCTTGTTGATGAGAAATGTAATGTTCAAGTGGAAAATCTGCCTGCTGGACATCCATTCACTCTCCATGCCCTCCACTTATCTGAAGACCACGACTACTGGGAGGCGTTCGGGCACTACATCAGTAACCACAATGGGCTTGTGTGCGGTAAGTTTACAGAGAAGAGCGTCATGTATGTTCAGAGTATCACATGTTGCTTCAATAGAAATATGAACATGTAGTTTCAGAGGATTTGAGTCTTGGGGGAACATATACTGGGAGAGAGCCCATGGGTTTATTCTGGAGTTTACGTCCAATTCCAGGAAGCCGCAAAGGCCTAAGGTAACATTTTTCCATACTCCTTTACAATGGATTAGAATGACAATGAGTGCTGGACTCCCCCGGCCGCGTCACCGTTTACACGCGTAGTCTGCGGCCCGTCAGACGTGCGTAAAACAGAATAGTGGCCACACCTGCTTCAGCAGTGCGCAGCTCTGGCCTGTTTAGGGCTTTGTCTTAACTTCAGACATTCAAATAAAAGAAGCAGTGTGTGCAAGAGCTGTGGCAATGATCCATGCAAAGCACGGCACTGTTGAAGCATCAAGGACGTCGCGATGGATGAGGCACAACTTATTGAAAGCCAATGGTAAAAAGGGGTGGAGAGAGAAAAGAACTCCAACATATCCAGGATTTTTTCAAAGTGAAAATTAAACAGCACATTTACGATCAGGAAACAATAATTTCAATTTCATACATTTGTTAATAATCCTTGTCATTAACAAACACTTATAACCAAGGACTACAAGCATATACTGTATCAATACATGTATAATAATAAATAATAAATATATTTTTCCATTGTATTTCTAATGGAAAATGGACCATAAGCACGCCAACGTACGAAAAAATTAGGATTCTTTCTATTTCGTCCTTACACGTCCGTTCCACCCTGCGTGGACGCACTGCTCCCTACGCGCATCATACGGACGCATGTTGTGGGCAGTGGAGCCACTTCCATTCACCCTCATGGAAACGGAGATGAAACGGACACGTTTGGATGGATACGTAGTACATTTACGTACCCGGTGGAGTCGGGGCCTGAGGCACTAATACACCAAGTACATAGCAATATATTGTGATTATCTATTGTTACATGACTAAGTGGACTGAAGCCTATTATAAAACAATGTCTATGTTTAAATGTCAGACATATACACTGTTTAAAGTTTAGGGAATGAAGGCCTTCTACTGCATGCATGGTGTTGGTACAGAGGATCCAAAGAGAGACCTAACACTCAGAACTCGCCAATATACATCAACATATCAACAGTGATGCCACACTGAAATTGTCAGTCAGGTCACAGTGGATACATTTTGTAAATGTCCTGCTATCAATGGGAGGGGTAGCCTGACTCTAGCCAGACCCTTGTAGTTCCACCATGCTCCACCAGAGGCATTTGGCTGAACCACCATGTGAGAAGCGCAGCAATCTACAAGGGTCTAGCGAGAGTCAGGCTAGGGAGGGGGACCATTGATAGCTGGACATCTAGAAAATTCATCCATCTAACTGCAGATGTTACGCCCACCATTTGTTTTCCCAGGCTGAGAAAGATGGACGTGTCTAGTCCTCTGCTATACACCATCTCAGTTTTCAGTGGGCATTTGACAGAGGGCTTCAAGGACCAGAGAGCGCTGGCCTCCGTGCTTACAGAGCGCTGGTACATGGCTCCAGGAGTTCAGAGGATTAGCATTAAAGAAAACCCTGTGAGAGGGACTATGTTTCTACCCCCAGGTACAATTAGATCATGTTAAAAATATTTTAGGATCAGTATCTTTTGTCATTAATATTGACGTTGCTAGGCCCTGGCCCTTTCCCTGGACTCCTGGACATGTGGGGTGGTGGAGGGGGCTTGATAGAGTACCGTGCTGCGATCCTAGCATCGCACGGTTATGCTGCATTTGCGCTGGAGTACTTTGGCCCTGGAGAGATGGACACTGCTGAGATGGAGATAAACTATTTTGAGGTTTAACTAACTTTTAACCATGTATACATTTGACTAAATATAATATATTGCATCTTACATTTATAGACGGCTTTTAATATAGTGAAGGACCATCCAAAGGTGATACCAGACAGAGTTGGGTTGGTTGGATTATCTCTTGGTGCAACAATTTCCTTTTATTTGGCATCTGAGAGCAAGGTTATTAAGGTAAATAATCCCGAATACTTTTAGATATTATATTTTTGTCTTGAGATGTTTGAATGTTTAAAAACATTATTCTATGTTGTTTTAAAAAGCCCTGCTGTTGTGTGTGTATTAATGGACATCATTTCCATCCCCGTGGGAAACCCATGGATTCCTTCACCAAAGAAAGGCAAAGGTTTGTGTTCGGAATGATAAACCAACAAATGTATTTCCCCTTTGTCCCCAATGTAATGCTGTCAACTTTCAGGTAAATTATGAGATAATCAAAGATGAGTTGTACAAGTTTGACAGGGTGCTACATAGAACAAGATAAATGTATGTTTCTGAAATTATTTGAAGACAAATACAAATCCAAATGTAGACAATTAAACTGTCCAAGAGGTAATCTGGGAAGTCTGTTACCTTTACTAACACAGAAAGTAAACATTTCCAAAGGCCCTGAAAACTGCGGTCATTAGGCCCCTCCTAAAAAAGAGCAGTCTGGAGGACACAGTACTAACCATTTTTGTCACATCTCAAATCTCAAAAATCCTGAGACTTCTTTTGTTCAATCTCTACATGTGCCGGGTCAGTTAATACGGAACAACATGTTCTATCACAACTACGCAGACAACACTCAAATCTGTCTCAATGACTGCAGAAGAACTTGGACCAGTGGACTCACTCCTTCCCTGCATCCAACAAATCAGTGAGAGGATGTGTAACGAATATGTTAAATGAAAAGGGACTAATTTAATATACAGGGATGTAAATCATAAGTTAACAAAAAACAAACAAACAAAAAAATTCAAGGACATAAGGGGGAACTCAAGGTTACAAAAGAAAACAAGCTAAACCTCTCAAATCGATTACACAGAAACTAAACCCTAAACCAACTGCTATCCCAAAAAAAGTGTCACAAAAACAAAACTTGAAGCGACAACTAAAATGATACAGACCTACTAAAGTCAGACAAAGTATGTCTCTTAATTCATTGTCACATCATCAGTGACATGACAAACATTTCCACCATTGAACATTAGACCAAACATGAGTCCATAATGGCATACCGGCCACACAGAGGCTGACAACCCCAAACAGATGTGGTGTGGGAGAGGGACTCGAGCTGGGGACTTGGATTGGTCAGGTGCAGAACCGCCCCTTCAATCAGTGCTTGAGCCACAGATTTCTGGGAGGTGGGAAGGCCAGGGGTTTTCTAATCACAGGCCAGGTATCCAGAAACAGGGGCAAGGGGAAGGAAATTCCACACACACTTGACAAAATTCAAAAACGTGAGCAGAGGGTTTAGGCATACATCAAATCAACATCTGCATCTTTTTGCCATCCAAACAACATTGCCAGTATAAAAATATAGAGTCTAAAGCAGACTTTGAGATTCTTATCTGTGCATTTTTCTCCAGTTGGTTAGACTTCAGTAACGGCTAAAGTACATAAAAAATGCTGCAGCTCGAGTCTTGACTAGAACCAGGAAGTAAGACCACATTAGTATAGTTGTCTGGGCTCAGCACTAGCTTCTTGTGGCTCAGATAATTTACTTTAAAGCAGCTTTGCTTGTGTACAAGCCTCTTAATGGCCTCGCACCCAAGCCCCAGCAATCAAAAATGCCTTGTCATTGTAAAAAAAATTTTTTTTTTGCAATAACAACAATTCATATGTCTACATAATTTTTTTTTAATATTAATAGTATGGGAATTTTGGTTTTTAAAAGTAGAAACTAGCTCTCTTTCAAAAATCTCTTCATGCATTCCTGCAGTTGCATATTGTTGGATTGTGTTTTCCTTTTAACTTCCTGACTAATAAACTATTAATATTCTTTCAGTAATACACATAAGGTACAACTGGATGAAAATAATAACCAAATCTGGAGACATATGTTTGATCTCAGCAATAATTCAAACAAAATAGAGGTAAGTCGTCTAGTTTTACTTTGAATAAGTATGTTGGTTTTAATTTGTTGCTAATTTGGCAGATTGGGAAAATAAATTGCCCGATGATGCTTGTTTGTGCTGAAGATGATCAGAATGTTCCTGCTGTGGAGGTTGCAGATGATGTGAGTATTTACGTTTACGATGCCTGTCTTGTAGATCTCTTGATTCAAAAACAGCACATATTTCTGTTGTTCTGTTGACAGTAAGGTCAGCTAATAGATGGGAAACAAGTTTCAGCATGTCTTTGGCAATATGTGTGTCACAGGACAGCATGCTCCTGGTCAGAATAGAAACCGTGAGCCTTGGGCCACACATCAAAACTCACTTCATTTGTTTACTATCTATATAATGTCTAGTAGTTTCCTCATTTGGGGCAGACAGTTTCAGAGCACTGCCAGGTGGTAGAGGTGACATGCACATTTACTTATAAATAAATTCACACTTTGTATTACAGCTCTTGGTTGTTACCCTTGTTTTTCCTCTTGGCCTACAGTATACAGAAATTCCACAACACCTGTTCTGAAAGTGTTGTCACTTATTGCATTTTTATTAAACGCTAATATACAGAGATTAAGTATGTATTTTATTATCTAACCCTAAACATTATTCCTCAGATAGAAAAGATTGTATGTGCTGCGGGGAAAGGCCACCTGCTGACCCGACTGAGTTATCCTGGGGCTGGACATCTCATTGAAGTTCCCTTTTCACCTCATTTCAGAGTAACAGCCTTCATGCAAACAAAAAAAAAGAAAGGCATGTTGTGTTATGGCTTCACATAGTTAAAGCTGGAGTAACTCACTTTGTGACTTTGAAGCAGCTCCCTTCCCCGCACTCACAAAGCTTTCGCCCCCCTTCTATCCCCCTCCACCTCAAGTGTGTGCTCGCTTGCTGTAGCTGGATCATGGATCTATAGTAATATGTGGATACGTTTCTTGTTTTGGCCCAAAAACAAATGTAAATGTCTTAGGTATTTTTTGTTCCTCATTTGATTGCCCCAGTGCTAAAGTAGTCTTGTCTGCTTCCCGCGTGCCTCTCTCCCGGTCCTACAAACGCTTGGCCTCTCTCCGTTCTTGTAGAGACTTTCTTTTGGATGGCTGTTATGCAAGCGGTAACAGGTAACAAAGACATGGGAAGTTTCATGTTCGCCTCCGCCATGATGCTTGTTTACCTCAGCTGTCTGTTATTATAAAAGATCCATGGTGCACTCTAACAAGAGACCTGTAGCTTTTCTCAAGTAAGTGGGGGCCAGTGGTCCGCTGTGATTGGTCACAATCTGGTCCCAAAATAAATTCTCTTCCACGTTGCGCGAAAACTTGATCTAAAATAAAATTACACTCCAGTACAAACCAGCGCTACTTATTCTCCAAAAGGACGTATATCCCAATGCACTGCATGGATATGGATTGAATTTTTCTAATGAATACAAAATCAAGAGAGTTATTCCAGCTTTAAAGCTGGAGAACCTAACTTTGAAGCCACAAAAATGTACTATGTTATACATGTAACTCGTTCCGATCTCTCAACACTGTTCTATCACTAGTTTCCACAGGCATGTATTATGGCCTCTGTCACATCTTTAGATCAGTACCAGCCGTCCATCCATCCATTTTCTACCCTTTAATCCATTTCTGGGTCAGGGGGGTGGCAATCAGAGATGCCACCCAGGTCTCATAGCACCAGCCCCTCACTGACCCTCTGCAGGTGGTGAGTCCACAGGAGGACGGCTGCTCTCTGAGTGTGAGCATAGCCTTGATCTTTCAGTGGGGGCTTTTGGGCAAAGTGGGGTTAAGTGTCTTGCCCAAGGACACAACGACAGCAGTCATCAGTGGGAGTCGATGGAGAAGGTGCAGAGGTGGGAATTGAACCCACGACCTTCTGGCCTTAAGGCCAATGCTCTACCAACTGAGCTACTGTCGCCCAGTACCAGCCGTCACTGAGCTAATCAGCTCTCAGTATGTTAAATATGAAATTTTATCTAAAAATATCTGATTAGTTCACAAAATGTTACTTCAATTTAATAACAACAATAACATTTATTAAGGGCATTGTGCATTTGTGTATCTCATTCATTATGTGTTGCATGTTAGAGGTATGCATTGGTTTTAAAGCAAGGAAGGTGAGTGCTGCAGAGGGTATGAGTGGTAGTGGTAGGGCGGCACGGTGGCTGAGTGGATAGCACTCTCGCCTCTCAGCAAGAAGGTCCTGGGTTCGAATCCCGGCCGGACCAGGGCCTTTCTGAGTGGAGTTTGCATGTTCTCCCCGTGTCTGCGTAGGTTTCCTCCGGGTACTCCGGTTTCCCCTACCACTAAAAATATGTACAATAGGTCTGGCATGCGCCTCCTGTTCGGCGACCCCGCTCCCATCTCTGTGTGGAGTGAGAGACAAATGCCCAAAAAATAACAATTGTAAACCGCTTTGTGACTCTGGTCTGTGAAAGGCGGTATATAAATAAAGCTTACTTACTTACTTACTTACTACTAACAGGTGCTCTTCAAAGACCGGGCAATCTAAGCAGATAAAGAATGTCAAAAAAGAAGGAAGTCTGAGCCACTCTGTTAAAGTGAAAAACTCTTTAGTTTAGTCCTATATTGGCTACTGGCTAGCTACGCGTTTCGACCAAAGGATCAGGGCATCAAGCATTGGCTTTACTTTCCAAGAGACTCTCCATGGTCTCTTGGATCCTGTAGCATTCAAGAGACCACGGAGAGTCTCTTGCAGGGTTTTCTCCGCTGAGGTACCCTCTGACCAGAAAAAAAAAAAACTGTACACACACCATGCTGCCCACTCTTACAGCCAGTTGGTCACTAAGAGGTAAAATACATATCAAATAAAAAGTTGCATAATCCATCTTTAAACAAGATTATTTCTTGGGACAAACCAAATGTATTTGAAAAAAAAAAAGTTTGGTACTCCAGCTTAGTATACAATAAATACATGTATTTATTATTGTATACATGTATGTATGCATGTATTAATGAGTGTTTCTTTGTAGTAATGCTTTTGTGGGGAGGACGAACCAAATCTCATTCAGATGCACAGGAGGACTCGTGGAAGAAGATCTTGGACTATCTACAACACCATCTGTACTCGAGCCCAAGTCTCAAGTCCAAACTTTAACAAACAAAAGCTCAATATTGGCGTCACTTTAATCCAAATTTGTGTTATATCTTATTATGACCTGCCTTTGCCTATTGTTCTCTAATATGTGAGGTAAAGTTTTGTCAGATTTGGAAATAAATATTAATAAATGCATTTATTATGTGTATCATTTTTAGGCAAAGAAGCCACATGCTCCCTGGAATGAGAGTAACGTTCTGATCTAAAGAAATGTGTGATCTACATGCACAGCAATAGAAACATGCAAGTGCAATATGAACCAACTCGGACCATGTGAAGCACAAGCCTCCTGCTGGTTCCCATAGTCAGGACAAAACCTGGGGAGGCAGCTTTTTGATTCTCTTCACACTTTGTACACTGCCATTAGGTGACACAAAGTTCTACTGGTCTATGAAACCAAATCAGACAGATTACTTAGAGAAGCTACACCCGATTTATTTTCTAATGAGTTCATAAAAATGCGTATTACTACAAGTTGCATTAAAATCCGTAATTTGATTGAAAACTTGAGTTTATTGATTCAGCTTGTGTTTGAATTCAGGCCGTAAAAAGTGCTGAGTAGAAACTTAGCGTGACAGAACAAAGAGCGGTGCTGTTCCAAGCAGGCTGTGTCCTCTAGCCTCTACAGCGCAAGTAAACACAGCAGCATGTTAGCAGAAAGTGGCTATACCTCCTTTGGCTGTAACTGCATACACAGCTAAACACCCCAAACGACGCAACAGCGAGGAAGAGAAGAGGGAACTAACGCGAAAAAATGATCAAAGAAGAAATCAAGCCGGGGTGAACATAGTGATTTCAATTTCAGAAATGTCTCCATTAAATAATTTTTACTAATGATTATCATTAGGTGTTTGCATAAAAAGCGTTTTAGTGAGTTTAGTGAATTCAGGGAAGATTCAAGGACAAGGTTGGTTTCTGTGATACAAGTATCATTTTAGGAACAGCATGCCTCTCTTATCGGGACAAGGCATGAGACCCAAAACCGGACTAGACCAGACCCAGACCAGGGCCTCAGTTGGTCTCACCATATTGGACAAAAAACTATTGATAAGACATTTTGTTAGCTGTCTGAGCAGGGACAGAGAGAGGGCACAACGCAGAGCGCCTGGTTGTCCTCTCTCATTTTCAGGCCTTGAGGGATAGTTACATTGGCACAGCTCATAGGGTTAGTTAGGGAAATAAGAGAGAGTTTTGTTTACAGTGCCTTGCAAAAGTTTTCGGCCCCCTTGAACTTTTCAACATTTCGCCACATTTCAGGCTTCAAACATAAAGATATAAAATCTTTTTTTGTTGTCATGAATCAACAACAAGTGGGACACAATCGTGAAGTGGAACGAAATGTATTGGATAATTTTAACTTTTTTAACAAATAAACTGAAAAGTGGGGCGTGCAATATTATTCGGCCCCTTTACTTTCAGTGCAGCAAACTCACTCCAGAAGTTCAGTGAGGATCTTTGAATGATCCAATGTTGTCCTAAATGACTGATGATGATAAATAGAATGCACCTGTGTGTAATCAAGTCTCCGTATAAATGCACCTGCTCTTTTGATAGTCTCAGGGTTCTTTTTAAAGCACAGAGAGAACCATGAAGACAAAGGAACACACCAGGCAGGTCCGAGATACTGTTGTGGAGAAGTTTAAAGCCGGATTTGGAAACAAAAAGATCTCCCAAGCTTTAAACATCTCAAGGAGCACTGTGCAAGCAATTATATTGAAATGGAAGGAGTATCAGACCACTGCAAATCTACCAAGTCCCTCCAAACTTTCATCTCAAACAAGGAGAAGACTGATCAGAGATGCAGCCAAGAGGCCCATGATCACTCTGGATGAACTGCAGATAACTACAGCTGAGGTGGGAGAGTCTGTCCATAGGACAACAATCAGTCGTGCACTGCACAAATCTGGCCTTTATGGAAGAGTGGCCATTTCTCAAAGATATCCATAAAAAGTCTGGTTTAAAGTTTGCCACAAGCCACCTGGGAGACACACCAAACATGTGGAAGAAGGTGCTCTGGTCAGATGAAACCAAAATCAAACTTTTTGGCCACAATGCAAAACAATATGTTTGGCGTAAAAGCAACACAGCTCATCACCGTCGAACATGGTGGTGGCAGCATCATGGTTTGGGCCACGCCCCACTTTTCAGTTTTTTATTTGTTAAAAAAGTTAAAATTATCCAATAAATTTCGTTCCACTTCACGATTGTGTCCCACTTGTTAATTCTTGACGAAAAAAATAATTTTTATATTTGTATGTTTGAAGCCTGAAATGTGGCAAAATGTTGAAAGGTTCAAGGGGGCCGAATACTTTCGCAAGGCACTGTAATTGTAAAGCGAATTAAATATTGATTGATTTTGAACTCTTGAATGCTTGGTCTTATTTCTGTATCAAATTCTGAGACACGTCCATTTTTTTGACAATAAGAGCTTACATTGTGTCCTCTGGAGAGGCCTGCGGGAGCGGGACCGCCTCGGACTATCTATGCTTGGACTACATTTGGACGCAAAATTGTAGCGGTAATCTTTCAGTTATATATTTTGTTAGCTGTGCGCTGCTTTTGCTTCATCAGTGATTGTTGTACAGCTTACAAGAAGTTGTGCTAATGCTAACATTTGCATATGTATCAGATTGGCCTTTGGGACACTCTGGATTGCTGTTATTGTTTATTTCCGCGTTTTTGACCGTATGTTTTGGTGAATGGTGGGCAACTGATTTTTCCAGGCGTAAAGAGCAGTTTATTTTATGACACAGATCTTTTTACAGAAGCAATGCTGTTTGTGAACATTGTTTTAGCCCACCATAGAACTATTATTATCTATTTAATACATTTACGTTGCCCTCGAGAGCCTCGGACGCGACACCGATCCTCCTCATAATAAAGTAATCTAAATAATGAAACTCTCAAGTTACCAGATATCAGCATACACAAGTTAGTACTGAGTAAATTACGTCTGTCAACACATTATGAGATACGATACGCACCTGACACAAAGTGCTCCGAGCATATTCTTGCGTGTTTTGAGGGAGTTTCTTGCCTGTTTATCTTCGCAAGCCATAACCTCCGTGGTTGTTCTGACAAAAGCTTAGTCTTCTCACATTCATGAAGTCTAATGATGGGTATACTGTAAAATCCAAGTTTAACGGAACCTCCGGCACGATTTGAACATCCATTGACCCAGCAGGAGATGACCATTTTCAACTTTATCACGACATTAACACGTTTCAGCTTCTTTTTCTATTGTTTTGCCCACAGAATGCCAAGACAAATGGCGCCGGGTCGGCAAATCCCCGTATGTAGTGACGTCATGTGGGAACTATGTATAATAATAACTGGAACATCCATGGATCTATAATAATAACAAATATCAGTAAAAAGGAGTAGAACACAGGAGATGCTGCTGATGATGCTCCTCGTCTTCAGAGATGCAGAGCCCACTGTTAAAACTATTCATGACTGATGATTAAATAAAACATGAAAATGTGTTTGTTAGAGTTCATATTGTAAATCCGCAGTGAAGCTGGAGAAACGATGGCGAGTGATTTTGTTGCTGTCAGAGAAAGTCAGAGTTCCGTTTCACCAAAAGTTCTTTTACATAACTGTGGACCCAGACACGGGGAGAAACCAGTGGGGACGGGTCCCGGCTCAAAAGTGGCCAAAATGAAGTGCGCTGACATGCTTGCAATACCACCCCGGGCCTATGGGGGTGGACCCGGAAGAAGAATTAGCCAATGCTAACATATAGCATCTTCTTACCTCTCAAAAACACCTTTACAGGATGGTCCAAAAGTTGGCTCTTGGCCCAAAGCTCCGTTCCACATGTGTCAATGCTGAGGGGGGTGAATTTTTTTGGACCAGTCTAGTTTAGTCGCTGTGATTTTTTTAAGTCACTCGTTTAAATGAATGGGGCTCGTGCCGGCTGACGCATGTACAGATGCATTTTTTTCACATTTTCCAGCCCCCACGGCTATTTTGAATCATTCCATTAGTTAGAACGGCGGAGATAGGTGTGACTACGTCCTTTAAAGGAATAGTTCACCGTTTTTACATACTGACATATGTTCTTACCTTACCTTAGACTAGTTAATACGTACCTGTCTGGTCTTAGTCCGTGCGCTCTGTCATGCAAACGGAGCAAAAACGGGAGCACAAACGCAGCCTCCTCTGTATACTGTGTAGGACCAAAAGGTAGCTCCCGCTAGAAGCTACCAAACTCTTCCAAGTGTTCCCTATTAAATGTATATAGTTACGTGACGTGTTACACTGCAAAGTATAGTAACACAGAAATGTAACAGTCGATTTTCTCAGTGGATAAAACGGGTACTATATTGTGAGGCGTAGTAATCTGAGTAGCGCTACGTCCGCGCACTAACTTCTCTCCGGAGACTTCTCTCTCGCTCACTTCCGTCAATAGAAGCAGCGTGACTTGTAGTACACACAGTAGCAGCGAGAGAGAAGTCTCCGGAGAGAAGTTAGTGCGCGGACGTAGCGCTACTCAGATTACTACGCCTCACAATATAGTACCCGTTTTATCCGCTGAGAAAATCGACTGTTACATTTCTGTGTTACTATACTTTGCAGTGTAACACGTCACGTAACTATATACATTTAATAGGGAACACTTGGAAGAGTTTGGTAGCTTCTAGCGGGAGCTACCTTTTGGGTACTATACAGTGACCAGAGGAGGCTGCGGTTGTGCTCCCGTTTTTGCTCCGTTTGCATGACAGAGCGCACGGACTAAGACCAGACAGGTACGTATTAACTAGTCTAAGGTAAGGTAAGAACATATGTCAGTATGTAAAAACGGTGAACTATTCCTTTAATATATGCAGTCTATGGAAAAAACATGTAAGCTCTACACAGAACCCAGAACCTTCTTGCTATGAGTGATACCCACTCAACTGCCCTATAACAAAGTCAGAACAAAGTGTGAATTTACCTCAGTTTTATTTATTGTTATGTTGGCTGACCCATATGGAGTCATAACTGAGGCTACAGGA